ATCATTACATCCGAGCAGTATCCTTCCCATTGATCCGAAAAGTACCTAAAGAAAAGAAAAAAGAGATCGGATTTATTTCTAAACCCAGTCTTCTTGTAGTTCGATTGAATTGACCAGAGGCGACTTCCTCTTAACAACAAAAACGACCTCTGTCGACTCAAATTACTAAGATACTTTTTCACATTTGGAAACTAAGAGAAGCCGCGAGGTGCCAAATCTGGGGAATACGCTAAATGGAGTTCCAGTTTGAACAATGCGATAACGCGACTTTTTTCTCGTCGAATGGGACGAGAAATTTTCCTAATTTGAAAAGTAAACACAAATTCTCTAAATTTTCGTCGGGGGGTTAATTGATGAGATTCATTTTTTTTGTTTTTTTTTTTTTTGCTTTTGCATTTTTGTTGTATATTCATTTTTTTACTTTTGCGTTTTCTGCAATTCAACGTTGAATTAGCACCATAATTTGGCATAGGCTTGTGACCGTGAGTGACGATACAGATAAAAGAATATTTGAGTATAGTCCGAAAAAAATATGAGCAAGAGAACTTCAAAACTTCAAATCGACCAAGTTTTTGAATTCCTTGGAATTTTTAAGTCGGCGGAACGCGGTTAAGTTATTGACTCGCCTATAATTTACCAATTTTTTGATGAAAAGGCACAACTACGAATGAAATATAAAGAAAGTAATCGTTAAATTTGGCTTCTAATTACTTTTTCTATTCCCAAAAAATAAATAATACATATAATTCCTAATATTTTGTCATAAGTGTACTTTATGAATTAAAACCAGTGATTTTCCAACTCCGTTAACAGAAGTTTGATTGCCATTTGATATTTTAACAAAGACATACACCATTTGTCAAATATACATATGTACATAAATAGGCAAGGGTTAGCCAAGTAGCACACCACTTAGACGGAGTTCTAAAATGCGGTTCAAAGCGGTTAATATTCCATGTTTACCAATTTCCATCGTAAAATTGATCAGTAAAATTCAACATTGAAGACGATATCGAAATATTACAAAGGAAACGCTTAATTCTGCAAAAACTTTATTTTCTTCTCAAACTTATATAAATAAAATAAATAAATTTTTCTAAAGCCACATAATTTTAATTTTACTATCGAAATACGGCAGCACTGGCCATCGTTAAGTACTAATCATCAACCAATCAGAAACGCACAGATATTAAAGAAGAGAAATATTAAGAGCAGCAAAGATATTTAAGAAAATCCCTGTCGCTAGCGATTAATAAAAATCAGAAAGCAATAAGTAGTGAAAAAGAATCAGTGTCGAATGGTAATTTTAGCAAAAATTCATAAGAAAACTTGTGTTTTTACCCAACAAAAATAAGATAGTGTGACTAAAAAGAAGTCTTCCTTATAAATAGTGCTAAACAGAGCAACTTTGATAAAAAAAAAATATTTCGATTATTATTCGGCATCCGCTTAAGCGGTCTAGAAGAATCTGCACAACAACAAAATTTAATTTCTTAGATAAGATGAAATTAATACTATGTAAGTATGAACAACTAGTTTTTATTTGGCATCGAAATTGTATAATTTCCTTATACCAATGTGTTTCCAAAACGCATATGCTGTTATCTTTGCAGCTACACTTTTATTAGTCGGTTTAGCTACCATACCGCTGCCGGCATCCGCTTTGTATTCGCCAAGCGATGACGTGGTGGAATTAACGCCCTCTAACTTCGATCGTCTCGTCGTCGATGATGATGCCGTTTGGGTTGTTGAGTTCTTTGCACCATGGTGTGGTCACTGCAAATCCCTCGTACCAGAATATAAGAAGGCGGCCAAGGCTCTAAAGGGTGTAGTGAAAGTTGGTTCAGTGAATGCTGATGAACATCGTTCGCTAGGCGGTCAATATGGTGTTAAAGGTTTCCCAACCATTAAAATATTCGGCGCTAATAAGCATTCGCCCATTAGCTACAGCGGCCAACGCACAGCTAAAGCTATTGCGGAGGCGGCACTAGCTGAAGCCAAAAAGAAGGTGCAAGATGTTTTAGGTGGCGGCAGTAGTAGCAGCAGCAGCGGTAGCGGCAGTTCTGGTTCAGATGCCGTCATTGAATTGACTGATGACAACTTTGACAAACTGGTTTTGCAATCCGATGATGTGTGGTTAGTTGAATTCTTTGCACCATGGTGTGGTCATTGCCAGAAACTGGCACCTGAATGGGCTAAAGCTGCTAAGGAGCTGAAGGGCAAAGTTAAATTGGGCGCATTGGATGCCACAGCACACCAAAGCAAGGCTTCGGTAAGTAAAAAAAATTAAGATATTGCAAGTAGTTTATAACGAATTCGAAAGTTTGATTCTATGAAAAATTTTTTTACACATACATAAAAAATGTTTTTTGTTTTATTATTTTTAAGCAAAATTGATTCAGAAAAAAATAAGTAAGAGTTTATAACAAATTTTTGTAAAACATTAATTATCATAGCATGTTTATAGTATTTGAAAATAAGTGTTTAATTCGCACACACATTGCCAAAAATTCTATAAATATGTACATATATTTATCTGCCTCTCACAGGAGTATGGTATTCGCGGTTACCCCACAATTAAGTTCTTCCCAGCCGGTAAGAAGAGCAGCAGTGATGCTACAGAATATGATGGCGGTCGCTCTGCTTCCGATATTGTCAGCTGGGCGCTTGAAAAACACGTGGACAGCGCACCTGCACCAGAATTATACGAGATTTATGATGAAAACTCTTTCGAAAAAGCTTGTGAGGGTAAGCCACTATGCGTGGTCTCAGTGCTGCCACACATCCTGGACTGTGATGCCAAATGTCGGAACAAATTCCTCGATACATTGCGTGGATTGGGTGAAAAATACAAACAGAAATTGTGGGGATGGGCCTGGGCTGAAGGTGGCGCACAAAGCAGCTTAGAAGAATCGCTGGAAATCGGCGGTTTCGGTTATCCTGCCATGGCTGTAGTGAATTTCAAGAAAATGAAATTTTCGGTATTGAAAGGCTCCTTCTCCAAGGATGGCATCAATGAATTCCTCCGTGACATTTCCTATGGACGAGGACATACTGCCCCAGTGCGTGGTGCTAAGAAACCTGAAATTGTCACTGTGCAACCATGGGATGGCAAAGATGGTCAATTACCAGCTGAAGAAGAAATCGACTTGTCAGATATCGATTTGGATGACACCAAGGATGAGCTTTAAAGTATCTTTAGTTGAAATATTTAAACATCTGCATATTCATGTCAATATACACTAAGACTTACCGAAGAAATAGCAACGTTTTACCAGAAGAAAAAGTATTGAGAATGTAAAAAGACATTTGAGCGAATCACAGATAAAACCACCAAAAATAAGAAAACAAAAAAGAAAAAACAAATTTTTCAGTTCATGTTCAAACCTTTTTACACACTACTACCTACTTAATTAATCATTTATGTGTGACAGTGTTTTTAATTGCCAGGCATAAATAGATTCTTAAAATATGCGATTGCATTTACCTATTTACGTGTATAGTTATAACTACACATACCTATATATATGTGTAACAAGTGAGTATGTTGATAGTACTCGGATGTTATGTGTATTCCTTTGCATTATTTGAAATGTAACTTTTCCACAAAGTCTAATTTAGTTTTATAGTATATTTAAGACATCCCAGATATATAGCGGTAAAACTATTTTACTTAAATATATTTTAGAGCCAACATTAATCCAAAAAAAACTAATAGGTAAATAAAATTATAAATTAATATTTTTTCTATTTCGAATTTTTGTGCTCAACTTATTGAAGTAATTGCAAATGAATAAAGAAATCTACTATTTTAAAATCCTGCGTCTTTAAAATATTTTAGTTAAACTCGATATATGAGAGAACTGTCCAGGAGGTTACTTTTGTTTGAACTAACGGAATATTTTCCCAATAATAAAAAATGGTTTTCCAATGAAAAAAAAATATTTGACAGTTTCTCGTATTCCGAAGAGAATTCCTATAAAATATTTGGGTTTTGCGTACAATCGTCATTTTTCGAGACTACAAGCAAGAATTAAAAAAAAAAACTGATGACACCAGTCATTTCGATGTTCCCTGTTAATCAAAATGGAATTCCAGCACTTTCTGGAATTTTGTATTACTGATACTCTCCCACAAAATACGACATGGACAAATAGCATAGAGATACTACAACAGATGCAAGCGTTCACACTACAATCTTCATAACCCAAACGAAACCGTATTTATAACCGACCAAAACCTGTCTCGGCAGCATGGAAGTCAAAGCAGTAATTAACTAGTGTATATAAAAACATTCTGGATATTATAGATATATATTCATTATATTTTTTCATACCAAACCACTCCTTCCATGGAAACATTCATTTTATTTAAATGCAAAAGTATTTCAAGAAATGCAGCAACTTTTGACTTGATACATGCTGGATCAAGTTAATGATCAATAATAACGAAAGATGCTTATATAATTAGATTAATTCTCGCTATTCATGTATATTGAACTATAAAAATGTATATTTCCATAAAAAAAACTACAAACCGCGAGACAAATCTGCGCTTGAGATTTGCGACGCCACGTCATTACTCGCAGAACACAGACGTTGCTGATGAAAATGGAAACAACAAAAAAATTTTAGAAAACACATTTTTATTATAAAAGTTGGATAGTATGACAAAATGTATATTTATTTATATAAAATGTTTATGTAAAAAAGTTCTATAAAAATACGTATTCGCACACCTCTTTATAAACCAACTACATGCTACACTATAACTATGCTAGATTTTGTATATATCTAGATGTGTATATTTTTAAGTATATGGTAAAAATGCAAATGTATAAAAAGTGTCAAATAAATTGGCATGTCATTTGAGCTTTAAGTTTCCGCCCGACAAATTTTTTTTTTTGCTTATAAATGCAGAGAACTTACAACAAAAAGGGTGTGATGGTTGTATACTTTTGTTAGTAAAACTACTTATATAAACTTATGTGTATATTATTCGCTACTCCGATATAGGATGCTTAAAATATTTGATCTTGTGAGCACAGGATTTTGTGATAATTCGAGAACCGTTTTCAGGAAATTGTTAAATTTTTATTTGAGGGTATTCGGTTTATTATTTGGAAAATCATCTTAAAAATATAGAGATAAATTATGTAGTAATTTTTCGTTTCTGGTTTTAGTATTTTTAAGTACGCGTCTGAGTTACACACAACCTAGAAATGTCTTATTAACATCAATTTAAAAAGGCAAGAATATTCTATTTTTAAAAATACTTAAATGGAATCACGCTGCTGTATACGTGCACTTCAGCACTATTCAAACTGGCAGTAAATTATTTATGTACCACAAAAAATCTCAACAGATTAAACAAAGGGTAGTTTGAATTCTTATTCTAACTGGAGTTAATACAGTACTTTCTTGTCAGTATTACTTAAACACTCATTTAATATGTATGTAACCATACATAAAGTCAATTAGTTTTTTGTTACCAAACCTTAACCACATTTGGTTGTAAAAATTATTAAATTCATAAATGCTGAGTAGAAAAAATTTTGTAGTCTTTTTAGTTGCCTAAAATTCTTGGAAACGATTTCGCAACAGCGTTTCTTACATACTACTTAGTTATATGACGACCTCCCGCTACGTTGAGGTTGCCTCAGTGCTTTTGATCGACCGGAAAGTTTTCTATAGATTGTATTGAATGCGATGTGGCTGAAGTTATGGTCGATGACGCATCCATATAACTATATTTTTTCTCCTCGCGACACAAAAACGGATAACATAGTATGCCATAGTAGAATATCAAACAAGCCATAATAATGAAGAATATTATTGCGATTACACCGAAAGTAGAATAACTAGAGTTTTTGTCTAAATATTCTTTCGGTGTTTGTGGTGGTTCTGTGGTAGGTGGTGGCGCTGGTTGATAGCCTCCATAATAACCACCCCGTCCTGACGTGTGACCCGCATGCAGCGTTGAAAATTGGCAGGTAGCTGCGGGCAATTATATGCGAGTTTATTTCAGGTATAACATAGCAAATTAATTTCTATACTTACCAATTATGAGTAAAGCAATTACAAAAGCGTTTCTACACATTTTTTTTTTTTTTGCACTGATTAAATTTAATGCTAATCTCGAATACACTTGTTGATATTCTCCGAATGGACAAATTAGTAATTTTACAAATCCCCTTGTCTGCTTATTTGTTACTATTGCCGATGGTGCTGCTTCTTCGTTCAAGGCAAACGCGTTTGTGGCGACGTTGCCAATTGGGAAATATTTAATAAACGATGTATACCATAAGGGCGAAACTTATTTTAAAGGATTTTAAAACTATTTTTAACATTTTTTTAAAACTTACTCGAAGTTAATTTAAATAATTAAGGGCTCATATTTATTAAATAGTATTTAAATATGCTATCGAGCAAAAGCGTTCAAAGGATATCTTTGGTAATTGTGAAATCGGTATAACGAGATCGCCTATGTTATGACTACATAGCTATTTATTTTCATAAAAAAATTAATATATGTTTATATTAAGAAAAAATCTTCCAAATAACTTTACATAATTTCATTATATTAGAAACTATTGTGAATTATTTGAACCCAAGAGCCCGGCAGGAATTTTCTTCTATTTGTATAATAATCTACCTGTAGGAAGCAGTTAAGGATTATAGATTTGAGACATGAAAGCAGAAAACAAGTACGAAGGGAAGCCTGTCAATATGTACCTTTTATGCATACATAGTGTATATGTATATATAAAAATAGAGATGTTTTAAAGGATCGTAATATGCGCATTTTTTTGTTGGAATGTTTTTAATGATACATACATACATATATACATACATATCCAACACAAATTCCAAAATCACACAAAAACAAAATCCTGGGATTTTATCATAAGCAATTTTAGTCGAAAATGATATACATATGTATATACATATAATATATACCATGTAGCACTGATATGAGTATGAGTAGTATCAGTTGATATTTAGTCATAAATAAAATTTAACCTCGACAAAACTCGCCTATCATAAAGCGTGATAATAAATAACTTATTGCGCATTGAAATTAATTGATTTTCAATATTTCGAATACAATGTTTGCGTATACATACATATGTATATTTCAGTGTGTTTTGAATAACTTACCTATTTGGCGATGCATTAAGGTAGATAGTAGATATGTATGTATGTCATTACGTGGGTGAAAATTTGATTTTCAAAAGTGCCGGTAAATTGAAGCGCGATGATAATGATTGATGAATTCATATTGGATGACGCAATGAAATGAGAATACAAAAGCAAATCAAAAAATATTAATAAGAAATGAAATGAGTTGTATTTAAGTACGTAGAGAAAATAAAATAAAGAGATAAGTAGAATACAAAATAAAAGTGAACGACATCATAAATGCCTTTGAAGGCAACGAATAGCCAGACGTTGGCAAATTACATATGTACATACATATATAATTGTGTGTATATACATATGTGTAAACGTAAATAATGTGTAAAAACTATAAAACTGTAGTAGCCACTAACATTTCTCCTACCTGACTTCCGAGCTACTTACATTTGTATATATTTTTATATTTCTTATGAGCTTGTAGCTACCGAATAGGAAGTTATTTTAACAGTGGGTGGGAAAACCTCTTCCTCTTACTTTATATTATAAACATTTAACAATGTAGTGAAATTCCCCTTAACCGGACACCCACGGTCGCAGTATTTTAATTCGGCTAAGGAAAAACGGGTGTTTAAAATGTATTCTTAGAACCAGAAGTTGCAACTCAGAACTGTATTTGAAATAATAAATGCCAACCAATGTCAGCCAGGAGTGCATGAATGACATTGTGGCAGATGTCCGGCTATGAGGACTGTCCGTAGTGGGGACTTTCACTGTATACCATATAAAATACAACAATTGCCTGATAAGCATTATATTATATATAGGTAAAAGAGAGTTTTCCGAACCAATGTACCACAAAGACAAAATTAATTAGTTGACTTCATCGATTTAATTTCCTATTGGGTAGCCAAGCACAACTTTTATACTTGTTCGAATATATAATATGTATGTATATGGGACTACAGCACTTAATATATAAAATATACCTGATATTTATAAATTAAAATCACGTACCTCTTATGCATATATAAGTGTTCATGTAGGAGTATATGCACATACGAACATATAAAAATATGCATGTATGTATTTATTTATATTATAAGTAGAAGTATACTTATAGAACTTGTTGAGCAAAGCAAATAACGCAATAAACAAAGCGCTATAAAATTGAGAATATGTGTATAGATATGTATGTGTTCGTATGTAGTATGTAAACGAGCAGTTTCGAAGCAAAACAAACCAAAACGTGGTAAGGCAATCAAAATAAAAGGCCTCTTTAGAAGCCGAGTCTGTTTAAGACTTTTATATTTACTATATGTATACTTAATTTTAGAGGTATGCAATGTATTTATGTAGTTACATATGTTTTTATATAATCTTGGAACAGAGTATATACAGAGTACCTTAAGTACCGAATATTTTGACTCCAGTACCAATAGTTTCCTTTTTACCGCAAAATAGGTCAATGTTCGAATTTATAATTGAAATTCAGGGATAATATTTTCCTAACAATGGTATGTCTCTTTGTCAAATATGGGATGAAGCGTGCCAATTCTTCCCTTTGCTCCCGTATACGAGTGAATACTTCCATTAGCACCACATATGTATGTACATATATCCAAGTAACTTTATAACTTACCTTGCATCCATGTTTCCGAATAGGGATCGCATCGCCTCACTAGCATCCAGCAGAATATTTTACTTTATCAATATGCTGGGGCTATGTGAGTCCTTGTGATTTAGGAGAGGGCACAATAGACCCAAGTACGCGGTGCATTCCTCATTTATTAATCTAATCTAATACCTCATATGTATATCGGCCAGTATGTGAACATTCTCTATGCATATACAGTGTTATGTATTGTATACATGCCTGGCCAGTGTTTAGGTGCATCTCATGCCTCGATGTGTTTTGATGTGGGATGCAAGGTGACTTTAACGGGAAGCTGGCTATATCTAAGTAAAACAGACACCCTACCTGCCTGGTGATTAGAGAACTCTCACACCTTAATGTTATGTGATTTAAAAGTCATGAGGTGACTCTATAAAAGTAAAGAAGGCATCGTGGCTGATTTCAGGGAAATTTGACTGCCAGCTAACTCTATATAAGTAAAGCATACACCGTGGCTTGCCACTTAGGGAACTCTCATCACACGTTGTGATCTGATCTAAAAGTCATGAATTGACCTCACGGGAAACTGGCTGCCAGCAGGCTCCATCCCTGGCAGTGCTTAGGTGAGTCTTGTACCTCCATATTTTTTGATGTGGAAGTCACAAGGTAACTTACGTTAGTTTTCTCATAAGGTTGTTGACTTAGTTAAATGTAAACCAAGATTATGGACTTAGCTAAATGGAAACAAAATGGCTATTGACCCCATAAACAAAACGGCCATTGAAATCGACAAAATGTAAGCAATTAGGTCAATGACCTCGTAATGTAAAGAAAAGTTTCAGTGAACCCAAATGTAAACAAAGGTTGTGGACTTGGCTAAATGTAAATAAAAGGGTCATAAAATGTAAGCATCATTCATTGTCCCTCTGTGTGTCTGTCCGTCCGTGCGAGCGTTAACTTGAATAAAATTTGAGATATCTTGGTGAAACTTGGTACAGATGTTCCAAGTTCGAAACTATGACCCTTTTATTTACATTAGCCCATATAACTATCAGGCCTTATGGGCTTGAAGGCTCTGGCTTTAATCCTTGCAAGTTGCAAGAGTATAAAATGTTTGGTTGCACTCATACTTAGCCCTTCCGTACTTGTTAATCTTGCCGCAATGTTCTCAATATATGGTAAGTATGTAGATATCAACGAAGTGATAAATGGCTGTAAACAAATTCAACATATTTTACGTATTGCATAAGCTTTGGTACAATCTTACATCCATATACATATGTATATTGTATATGTATTAATATTTTTACACATACATATTTATGGTCAGCTAAATTAAGTGTAGTCGATACATACATACATATGTATGTATACATATATACATACATATGTATATTTTCTATATTTCTTGCAAGACTATAAACTCTGACGCTGCTTGATTATAAAATTATTGCAGCAGCTGTCTTAATTAATAAACATACGCAATATTTTCTTATGAATATTTTACTGCGCGTATTTCTCTCGTACATACATATTTTGTGATTGTGATTAAATCAGCTGTGCAAATTTTATTAAAACAAGAAAACACGTTAACTTCGGTTGTACCGAATGCTATATAATCCGATCTGAACAATTTCTTCGGAAATTACATTGTTGCCTTAAAAAATGATCTATAGCAAATTTCGTGAATATATCTTCTCAAATGTGAAAGTTTTCCATACAAGAACTTTATTCCGATCGTTCAGTTTGTATGGCAACTATATGTTACAGTGGTGCGATATCGGCGGTTCCGACAAATGATTAGCTTCTTGAAGAGAAAATGACGTTTGCAAAATTTCAAAACGATATCTTAAAAACTGAGGGACTAGTTCGTATATATACAGACCGACATAAGGACAGACATACAGACGAACATGGCTAAATCGACTCAGCTCGACATACTAATCATTTACATATACAATATATACTTTATAGGGTCTCCGACCCTTCCTTCTGGGTGTTACAAACTTGTGTAAAAAGACAAATAATCGTATTTTTATTTAAAAGCTGTAGGAGTCATATAAATTGGTTCAAAAGCGTTACGTACATATGTATATGTATGTATATATGTATTGATTGGGAAAGTATTGGTTTATTATCGCAAATCTGTAAAGCGAATAAACTGATAAGTATTTAAGTGAAAGGTCAATGAGTCATAGACCCGAAGATTGTTTATTGATGACAAAGTTATAAAAAAAAATTAAAAAATTAAAATAAAAGAAATAAATAAAACCAGAAAATTAACAAGTAAAATATTCAAAAATAATAATTTGGGTGTACATAAGTACGTTTATACATATACATATGAAGAAACTTCGAATTTGATTGCTTTGAAAACGTGTACGAACGAATATTACAAAAATGAAGCATCTATTATGCTATGAAACAGCTGTTTCACCCCTCGAAAAAAATATTTTTTATTTGTGTGTCTAAACCCCCTCCAAAGCAGTTTGCACTCAAATTTCATCCCTCAAATTAAGATTTTCTCACGCTTTTCGCACATGTGGTGTGTCAGTCAGTTCGGGTTTATTTGTCTGAATACGAGTTTGAATAATTGTTGCTTTGCTCTATATTACTACGATCACCGCTCTACTTTACATTCAAAAATAACTTTAATTGTGAAATTGTTGAACTCAGAACACTTATGTATGTACATTTCTGTTTGCATGTCTCTTTATTTGACTCTAAATATTCGCTATGCAAATAAATTATCCCACTGCTCTACTTTAGTAAAAGAAAACTTAGAAGCTTTTATAGGGCTTGTCACTAATATTATATTTCCACTTTGTTTTGCTCCTAATTTGTTATGAATGTACATTCGTATGTACATATACATATATGTATGTATGGATATGCATAATGGAATAATCTGTTATTTTCACCTTTATTTTATTTCGTTCCATATTTCTGCGCTGCAATTCGTGAAACTATAAACAGAGCTGCACGAATGCATTTTGAAATATTTTCATATGTATGTAGATACATACATATGTATATGCGAACATACATATCTATATAGAATTGTAATTTCAAACAAAGGCGAACGGAAATGCAATTTTTTATGATTACTTCGACGGTGACCTTGATAAATGTCATACAAACTTATATCTACATACTTATGTATATACAAACACAAATGTGTCCATTTGCGTATACAGTACAAAATATTATATTCTTTCCATTAAGAAAGTAAACATTGCATCATATGAAATATGTGATATTTTAGGCAGTTCCTACCTATACAATGTTCAGATACATATATACATATCTTACTGGCATCGTTGGAATACCGCAAGGACCAGTGAAAGCCATTTTGAAAAATCATTCGGGCCTAAGAAAAGTGAAAGTGAAATCACTAAATTTTTTTGAAAAACATTGTCGCGTTAACGTCTGTGAAACAATGTCTACAAAGAATACTATTTGAGTGTTGTGCATCGTTTTCGTTAGCCTATTCGTAAAACGAAATTGAGAACGAATTATGAGCCGACAACTCTTGCTTTTTGCACCGCCGAATAGTGCACTGATTGAGTTTTTCGCCAAATTTTCAACCAATATCGTGCCGCAACCACCGTTTTCACCGAATTTAGCTCCGTGGCTTTTCTGGCTATTCGGCAAACTCAAACGATCGCTCCGAGGAAACAGTTGAATTGAAGACATTAAACGTGAATCGCTACGCATATTGAAGGCTATTCCTGAAATTGACTTCAACAACTGTTTCGAGGATTGGAAAAAGACATTGGTACAAGTGTACTGGTGTCAAGAGGGAGGGGACAGATTTTGAAAAATAAATTAAGAATTTTAAAATTATGAACAAAATCTTACTATTTTTTGCTCTTATTAGTTGGTATAGTGAAATTCCTCACAACCGAACACTTGCAGAGTTATTGCCCGGATAAGAGAGCTGTTCATACATATGTTTATGGGGGCGTGGCAAAACGAGTGTTTAAAATTTTTTCTTAGCGACGGCATCAGCGCAGGAGAATTTGTTTACTATCACCATTTTACATATTGTTTTTAAAAACTGTTTTCAAACATCAAAAATTAATAAGAATTTAAAAAACAGAATGTGTATAAGTTGTAACAAAGTTTATGAAATCTTGTCTGTTTATCAGAGGTAATTTGAACGAAATATTATAAAAATAGTGTCCGCGTCCGGTCATTGGAACCTTCTTATATCCGGTTATAGGAATTGTTTTTATAGGAAAATAATAATAACTATGTGTTCCTGAAATTTGTACATTTAAAGGAGATGTCCGGATATGAGGGCTGGGCGAAATGGCGAATTTCACTGCGTTTAGATTTACACATGTACATAAGTACGTACATATATACATATGTA